AGCCAAACCTATATAATTATATGATCAAATCATATATAAATATATTATAATGAATTGATAATTTATTCTTAAAAACATATAGGTCGTAATAGATAAAAAAGATTTGATAGTATAACAATTAATATTTGATCAATTTAAATTTTTGCATAAATAATTTTAGAGGAATTACTTATCAATTGGGCAGAAAAAAAAAATAAAAATAAAAATAAAAAATAAAAAATTTACACAAATATGGACTTACACCCCTACAGCTTTTCACTTGCACCCCACTACAAAATCACTTGCACCCTCTATATTTTTGTAATTTTTTTTCTCTGTTTCACTGTTAAGTAATTCTCCCAATAATTTTTTTTAAAAAATTATATAAAATAAATGATTTAAATCACTGAAATAAGTTTATAGAATATAATAACGAATCAATTTCATTATAAAAATTGAGATTTTAAATTTCAGACATATTCGTACAGACACTTGTTATTAAGATTATTTAAAAACATTAATATTAGCATTCATTTTTAAATTACACATATTTTATTCAATAAGTTTAGAAGCATAATTATCAAATATAAAATGGGACACATGCTTCTTACATGAGGTGAGTCCCACATGTAAGCTCTATACTATGTGAACTCCACCCTATGTGAGAGTTATATATCACATTCTGTGTTTGATAGTTGTGTCCTTATCATTACTCTATTTTATTCTTAATTTTTATTAAACCTTTAAAATTTTAAATTTTTTTTGGCATCAACTCATAAATTCTAAAATCAGAACTTATAGGTCAACTAGTACCACAATTATTTTAATGAACATACAAGTTCTTATTTATATAAATTGACATATTTATTACTATTTTTATGATATGATCAATTTGAAAACTTCCACCTTAATTTTAATTGTTTGTCACATTTCAAAAAAATAAACTAGAAGATTTTGTAGTTATATTGATGATTTGGACAAGCCATATTTCACATTTAATTCATCCAAAATGTAGCATGCCCATTTTGAAAATCAAACCACATTTCACATAACACATTTTAAAAACGTACACTAAAAGATTTTTCTTATCACATTACTGGTTTGGACAAACCACACTCCTCCACATTCAATTCACCCAAAATGTAACATGTCCATTATGAAAGTCAACCCTTATGCCACATTTCATGTTCAATCCACTCAAAATGTAGCATGTTCATTATGGAAATCAACCTTTATGTTACATTTCAAAAATTACATTCTATAAAAAATTTAAAAAATGTGAAAAAATGAGCCCAACAATTAATAAGGGCAAAAATATTTTAACGTGACACAATAATATATTAAATAGGATTTTATAGAAAATGTTTTTAAATCAATAAGACTTACTGGTCTGTAAAAATAAAAAATAAAAAGAATTTCATAATATATAGATTTTTGAAATGAGATTTCAAGTATTTTTTTTTTTTGATCAGTCTCAAATCTTTTATTAAATTCAAATTTGATGAAAATTTGATACATATGGTGTTCCAACCATTTCACCAAATTTGTATTAAATGAAGGAAGCCTACCTTTTTCATCAAATAAATGCAGCATTTATTCTTTCATCAAATTTTGTAAGTGATCGTTGGTGGACGACCGGATGAATGACTAGTCAGTCAACTGGATAAACGATCGGCCGCACAATCGGATTAGAAAAAATTTGAAGAAAATTTACATTAGGTCGATCAACTGTAAGAACATCCTCCCGATTAACTATTTGTTTGATGAAAATTAAAAATTTAACGTTAAAATATTTGGTGTGAAATGAAACTTTTAACTAAAATATTTACTCAAATTCGATAATAATAATAAAAAAAGAAATTAGTACGCGTTGATGATGCTCTTATGCCTGAGAGCATCTCCAATGGTTTGCCATTAGAGCTGCTAAAGCTATAATATAGCAGCTTTGAGGAGAAAGGGTTCTCCAATGGTGAGATATAGCAGTTGTTAAAAATGGCAAATCCCAAACCAGTTGCCAAGTTTGACAACAACTTTGGCAAATGGAAAATCTGCCAGTTCACCCAAAACCAACTGATATTCTTCCTTCCCTCCCTCATTTTCTCATCCGTTTGTAGAAAAACTCAAACAAAAACAGAACAATTTTTCATTTGCGAAATTCATAATTTTTTTTTACAACAATTTTTTTTAAAACAAAAATTCACTAAATCAATAACATTCAACTAAAAATTTGAGGAGATGGACAACAACATTCAAACAACAACAACATTTAAACAACATTCAACAAAATCAAAATTATTCTCAGAATAACATCTAAAAATCGATTCCCAGATATCTTCATTAGGATCTCAAAGATTTGATTTTTACTCTAATAGATTGATATTAAAAAAATAAAAAATAAATATATCATACCTTGAGGTATAGAGACCGAGAGGCTTCATCGATCAGTGACTGAGAGGCTTCATCGATCGGTGACTGAAACCAAGAGGCTTCATCGATGGAGACCGAAAGAGGTATAGAGACCGAGAGGCTTCATCGATCGGTGACTGAAACCAAGAGGCTTCATCGATGGAGATCGAGAGAGGTATAGACAGAGATAGAAAGATATATATATATATATATATAGAGAGAGAGAGAGAGAGAGAGAGAGAGAGACGGTTTAATTGATCAAGAGATATAGAGAGATCAGTGACTGAAACCAAACGGTGGAGAGAGATCGATGACTGAAACTAGATCAGTGGAGAGAGATCGGTGATTGAAACTAGACGGGGTAGAGAGATCGGTGAATGAAAACTAGATCAGTGAGAGAAAGAGGTGAGAGTGAGGGACACAGACTTTGCCATAGAGGTTTGATTTGGAAGATCTGAGGAGATGAGATGAGATGAGAAAAAAGGACAGAGAGATGAAGATCGGTAAGGGGAATGAAGAGAGAGCAGAGAGATAGAGAGAGATATTGGTGCCATAGAGAGGAAATGACTCAGTAGGAGGGGGTATATAGATAGATAGATATTGGAATCCACATGAATTGTTCTAGATAGATAGATAGATGAGCCGTTGGATTATATAATCCAACGGTGCTATTTTGTTATCGAAATGCACATGAGTTTGAGCAACGGCTCTTTTTCTTCCTCTTTCAAACAATAGTTATAAATTAACGGTCATTTTTTATAAACGGTCATATTTTGTATTTCTATAAATAAAAACCCTTAATCTCAATTTCATTTCATACCAAACATTTCAAATTTCATTTTTCTTTTCTCTTCTCTTTATCTGAATTTTATTTCACACCAAACTTCACAAATTATTTTCTTCTTAGTTTTTTCACACAATCACTGTGGAAGGTTCATCAAAAATAAAAAGAGGAAAATCATTCACCCCTCAAGAAGATGTGGCAATTTGTAGAGCTTGGTGTCACATTACTGAAGACCCAATTGTTGGGAATTCATAATCTCATGCTCATTTTTGGGGAAGAATTTTTGAAAATTATTGTTTATTGCAGAATGATCACTCAAGAACATAAGTGTCTATCTCATCTCGATGGGGTATAATCATGAAATGTTGCAACAAATTTCGTGGGTGTCTAGCGCAAGTCGAAAATCTACATCCAAGTGGGGCGTCACAAGTTGATAAAGTAAGATTTCATTTCCATTTATTATGTTAGTTTTTTTATTTATTTATTTTGTCTTACATTAAAATTAACTAATTAATTAATTTAATATTTTATTGATATAGATACTTCAAGCAAAATTGTTATACCATCAAGATGAAAACAAACATTTTGTTTTTGAACATTGCTGGCCAATTTTGCAAAATAATATCAAGTAGCAAGATGTAACTCCTACGAACACGGTGAAGTCAAGAATACATATACCATTTCCCCCTAATTCAACCCCCGATTCCCCTATGGATAACTGCATTTCTCTTGAAGATGACACCAGTCCAAGTGTTGGTAACAATCCAACTGTTGGTGAGTGCAGTGTCTCTGCAAAAGGTAAAAGGCCGATGGGTAGGAAAACTGCAAAAGAATTATTTTGAAAAAATTAAGTCGTTCAAGCTGAAGTTCAAAAAATGAGCACACAATTGGACACATTTAACCAATACCTTGCTGAGAAGGAAAAGAAAAAAGATGAAAGAGAAGAAAAAAAGATTCAGGCACTGCAGGAGATAAAAGAACTTAAGATGAGAAAACATGACTTTGAGATCAGAAGACAAGAACATATGATAATGACTACGGACATTTCTCATTTGGATCTTCAAACGAAAGCGTATTACACAATGCAAAAAAATGAGATTTTCGTCAAGTGGTCCTCAAATATTAGCAGCCCAAATTACTATTTCTTCTTGTCTCCTGATGAATAATTACGGGATAATGTAATGAAATTTTCGCCAAGTGATACGCATATTTTTATTTTGTAATGAAATTTCATATTTGTTTTTATTTTTGAGTATTTTCTACAAAAGAATGTAATATTATTTTTGTAATGTATAATGTAGCAAAATAGTTTAGTATAATTTAATTTTTTTCAAATGAAAGCAATAAAAAGATAAAATTTATTTATTTATTTATTTTTCCAATTTTCCAATTTTTTTTATTTTTCATATTTGTCTAGTCGGGAATAATATAAATATATAATTTTTTTTACAAACGGTTAAAAAAAAGTCACAAAAGATAAAAAAAAAATAAAATAAAATCACAAAAAAATCTATATCCAAACAACACCTACAAATTTAGAGGCAAAATTGGTTAAAATTTGTCAAAATAATAAATGACCATTAAAATATTATTGTTATAATTTGACAAAATAATATTATTTATTATCAAATTAAAACAATAATAATAACAATATAACAATAATCGTTGAAGAAGCTCGGAAGAGGAGGAATAATATGAACTAATGAGAAATTGTGAGGATCCGAATCGTACCTGACAAGGCACATCTCAGCCGTCAAAATGAAGAGAGAGAAAACACAACAGAAGCAACTATCTGCCGTACGATTAGTTGTTAAAAAATTCAATGCATCTCAGCCGTCAAAATGAAGAGAGAGAAAACACAACAGAAGCAACTATCTGCCGTACGATTAGTTGTTAAAAAATTCAATGTCGGCAGCCCAACCCGTAACTTGGACGCCATAAATAGGGTTTACAGGTGCTTGTTTACGTTTCGCAGAAGCATTCTTTGTTCTGTTCCATTCGATTCAAGAAAAGTAGAAGTAGTAGTAGTTTTCTCGTTCCTAAATTCTAATTCTCTCTCTCACGTTTCGGTACGCGCCTCCTCATTCTTTTCTTCTGCATATATTGATTGATATTGATTTTGATCTTTAATTTGTTCAACTGTTTCTGTTTCTGTTTCGGTTTAAGAAATTTGTACCGGTTCTGCCACTATTGGTAGCAATTGAGAGAGCATGTAGTTGTATATGCTGTCTGTTTGGTTGCTGGGAAAACCCCATGGAAAAGGAAGGAAAATCATGTATTGGGTCACCATGTTGGAAGCCCTAACATTCGAGATTTTTAAAACTATTTGTTTCGCATTCTGCTTATTTTTCTTGGCATGAATTAGGGGGAAAAGTAGTTGGAAAGGTTTAAATTGGGAAGAACTATGGTTTTTCCCCCAATTTGTGTTGCCCTTTGTTGTATGATTAGGGAGGGTTTTATAAACAATTCTGTATTTTTGTTCAAATCAGATGGCTCGTACAAAGCAAACTGCTCGTAAGTCTACCGGAGGCAAGGCGCCGAGGAAGCAGCTTGCTACCAAGGTTCTATTCCGTTCTTTATTGTTTTTTATTTCGATTCTATTGTGGGTAATGTAATGTTTGTGAATTAGGGAATTTGTACTGTCTACTTGTTTTTTGAAAACATAAAAAACAAACTTTGTTGTGATTGTTTCTTTTAGGCTGCTCGCAAGTCTGCCCCAACTACTGGAGGAGTGAAGAAGCCCCACAGATACAGACCCGGAACTGTTGCTCTTCGGTTAGTGGATGCTGCAAAACTGCTGCTTATACAATCAGAAAATCTATTTCGGTGTTAGTAAATGCTAATTTTGTATGATGTATTGTTTGATGCAGTGAAATTCGCAAGTATCAGAAGAGTACTGAGCTCCTGATCAGGAAATTGCCCTTCCAGAGGCTTGTTCGTGAGATTGCTCAGGATTTTAAGGTGATTGATCTGATCAATGTTGTTATTGTCCCCTGGGTTACTTGTTTTTCACATCTGGTGTATGATACATCGTGTAAAATTAAATTCGGCACGTGGGTGTGTGTCCTTGTTTTGTCATGAATGCAGTATAATAGAACCTATATCTGGTTTTGCCATTTTAATTTGTGACGAATAACCAGTGATTATAAAATAGCAGTTATTGATTATGAAACCATTGTCAAATCCTATTCAGCAGAATATTGAGGTAGTTATGGCAGAACGGAAGTTTTGCTTTGTCACCATTTTTTTCTCAGTAGAAACCCAAGAAAGACAATTGAGAAGATAGTGTTTTAGTTGATTTGGGTGTTATGTGGTAACATTGCAAATATAGAATAGAATTTGCAATCCACTTTTTTGAAGTTATGGTGGCTGGAATTTTGTTTTTTTTGTTTTTTGTTTTTTTAAAGTCAGTTATTGGATTTTCTTTGGGTGCAGACTGACTTGAGGTTCCAGAGCCATGCAGTCTTGGCACTGCAGGAAGCCGCAGAAGCATACCTTGTTGGGTTGTTTGAAGATACCAATCTCTGTGCAATTCATGCAAAGCGTGTCACAATTATGCCCAAGGACATTCAGCTCGCAAGGAGAATTAGGGGTGAGAGGGCTTAGTTTTTCAAAGTAAATGTTGGGGTTCCAACTGAAGCTGATTGTTGTTGATGATGGGTGTTTTAGTAGAAGCTTTAGGATTTTGTCTTCTTCAATACCATATATTGTGTTCTGTCAGAGGATGATTGATAGATACTAATGGTTGTGGATTGATTTGCACGGTACTCTTTATCTTCTTTCATTTTGTTGGGCTTGTCTAATTTCTGACTTCTTTTAATCCCATTCTAATCATATTTTATTTGTCAAATTTATAGCTTGCTTTGTGTATTATGCACAATGAGCTTTAATTGGGTGATGGAGTGACATAGGTTCAGGATTTTTATTCATCAATGCCTTTCCGCTACATTTGTTTGCAATAGTTTAGAATCAGTAGTTGCAGCTTACCAAACTGATGGTAAATTAATTGTGTGCCGAGGATAAAGAAGAAAGTGAGTCACAAGAAGCAAATGATGTTCCAGTTGCAACTAATTCCACCATTCAAATTGTTGAAGCTTAGAGAGAGTGAAAAGATGTAGAAAAAACATGGGATTGGATGTGCTGTATGTCAAAGCACAATTGGAGGCCCATCAAATCCCAATGTATTCTGTGACGGGTGTGAGACCTTAAGGTCCACACCACTAGCTAACTAATTCTATTGCTACCTCTATCTGGTCACCGCATCCGTGGTTCCACGAAACCAGCCATCGACAGCCAGTGAGCCTATGTCCTTGTCCTTGAGGTCTTCTTCACCGACCCAGATAGAAGAGATGCATTGATTGTTCTATGGTTCTTCACTGACATCTCGACGGTCAATGAAGCTGTCGAAACTCGAGTGTTTACATATATATACAAGTTGAAGCTATACAAGTTGAAGCGACTCTGGAAAGTTGAAAAACAAGCATGTGAAAGATATTTCTGAGAATTATTTTCCTCTCCAATTTTCTTCCTAACTTCAACCTTCAACATCATCATCTAGATTTAAAGCCATGGCAACCCATAACATAAATACGCTTCCAAAACAAAAAAGAAAGATATTTTTTACTATTTTTATTATGAAATTATGATGGAATTATGGTGTTAAGAGAAGTTAGAATTTAGAGACGAAGTAGGCAACCAAAGATGGAGAGAATTTTTATACTTTATTATGTTGGCCTAAAAGTTAATTTATAGACTACATCTTACATATACAAACAAAAAAGTCATCAAGTCTAACCGTAGGTTTTTTTGATTTTCCAAAGACTAGAAAAAAAAAGTTCTATTATAATAAATACATTGGATACAAAAAGTCTAAACAACAATAATTATAATGACTTTTTAGTTCATGTCTTCTGACAACCTTTTACAGTTTCTATAATTATATACACTTCTACAATTACTTCATCATTTTTCATAGTGACTAGTGATTCCTCTAGCTCTCTTTTTCTCTCTTTGTCGTGGTATGACCATGACTAGCTTGTAAAAAAAATTATAAAAAAGAAAAAAAAAGAAAAGTTGAAACGGCGCCGTTTTAAAGCGCAACAGGAAACAAGAAGAAATGTGTACAACAGTGACCCCGCTTCCATTTACATAATGGGTTGCACAATATTTCTATTTTGGTTGTGCTTCAATTTCTGAATTTTGAGACAGATTTTCATGGAGCATGAATAATGAGAACATAACATTGGTTTTGTTTGTAAAATTAAACACCCCCAATTTTTATTTATTTTTTTTATATGTAGAAATTTATGTTTGAAGCCTTTACAAAGGTCAGTAAAGACGCTTTGTTTTCAGAGAACAAACTGAAATGCTATCTCTTCCATTATGGTACCTGCCTTTGCATCTCAGGTATAATTTTCTTGACCTTGTTTTCTTAGTTCATGGCAGAAATTCAAACACTTATTGTGTTAACACGAGATCACGGGTAATGGATTCTTACTTGATTCTCATTGATTCTTGCCTTTTACAATTGTTTATGCATCATTTATACATGCTTTTAGGTTACTGTCATGAAAGTGACTTGGTACAAAGAAGATGTATAGTGTTATAAATGTTCCATGGGGCACTGTCAAAAGTGTAGTCATCCAACACACATTAGAACATGAATTGAGTGCTTTATTTAATGTGTATGCAATTCCCATTCTTGTGCTTGGTATGACAAAGGTAAGTGAGAATTTATCATTCTATTGGAATGTGGCTAATCCAGCTTCACTCCAGCAACAAGGGTCACAATGGCAACTATAATCCCTTCGCCCTTCTAGCACATCATCTTCCTCTGGTTCTTCTCTCATCTAACATGCCCCATCTTGATTTCTGTTGTCGCTCTGTCAATCCAACATCTTCCTATACTTATTTCTACCTCAGATCAACAATAATTGACCATCATGACCATTTGCCACACATCTATCTTCCTCCTTTCCTATGCCCTAGATCAGCACTTACCTCATCATCAACAATAGCCAACCATATTAAGACCCATTTTATGGTTGACCACTGCCTGCCAACCATATTAAGACCCATTTTCTGGTTGACCACTGCCCACAACCATCATCTTCTTCATTTTGGTACCCTTGTTGCCATCATCATTTTTGGTGGCTTGAAGCCCCGTCAACCTCCAATCACCATGCACTGGCTTGAAATTGCCTTCCTCTCTTCAGTCTTACCTTTACCCATTCTGGTGACTCGAAACCATTGACCTCCAACAAGCATGCACTCAACTTGACATCATATTACTCTTCTTCAATCTTACTTGTACCCATTTCACAATCATCACTTCCAGCAACCTAGAGAATTCCATGTCTGCAAGTATGCAAGAATCGCAATCATCTTTTGATCCCTAATCACTCTATATCTGCAAGCAAACAGGGAGAGAGGTTCTTCCATTGTTCCCTCATTCCCATTCCGGTCATGGGTGTCGATAGCATTCTACATTAGTCCCACGACTAGATTGCTTCAATAAGAGGAAAAAAGAGTTTTCAAGGTACAAACAAGCTAACCACGTCTATAAAGAACATAGGTGGCTTTTCTTAGATTGTAACCATTTTTTTTGGTGAACTTGTTTTTGTTGTTTGGCCCTTTAGGGTCTTCTTGTTTTTATTTTACTCTATATGTTGTTTGTTTTATCTTAATATAACTAGTTTTCATCTTTCTCCCAAAAAAAAAAAAAAAAAAAAAAAGAAGGTACAAACAAGCTAAAAAAAAGAAGAAGAAGGTACAAACAAGCTCTCTTTGAAGGTTACACAATTAGACAAATCAGACGAGGAGAAAACAAGGAACATGCTCATCATGGGGATGACCCATGCCATGAGTCAAAAACGATAAATAACTAGGAAAGCATTTATTATCCAAATCAAGCATATTGTATCAACTCAGCTACAGTAACAAAATTGTCATGTAACTGGCTATAGGTAGCTAAATTTGTAGGGCAAAGATGATCCACAAAAAGAAAACTCGGCAAAATTTGGATCAGTAAAGAATTAGAAAGTGCAAAACAACAACAGGAGATGGGGCATTCAATTCCATTCAACACCAATATTAGCTCTTACAAGCATCCAGACAATCACCTTGCCACCAGGTAACTCATGAGTTTGGTTGCATACTCATCCTCAGATCTTCAAACAAACATTCGTTCACTAACATATTCACTTTCTCAAGCTAATTAATTTCAGAGTTTGATAATCCATCAACCAATAGTCTTTTATTATGTGCATAGAAAACCAAGGTCACTGCTTAAGTTTATGGTAGTGACTTGTTACTGTTACAACACAGTCGGAGCATTAAAAAATGGTGGAAAGAAAATCCATCAAAATGATGATTGTCAATAGGTTTGTTGTAGGAACACAAATATGTGTTTGGACTTAAACTAGTTCCAACAGCCGAGCTAAAATATTTTTATTAACTACTGTTTGATCCTCATTTCAAGAAATTCAACTGGCAGTCCAAGCAACCTGGATGAAATAGCTGGAACCAAATTATATTTAGTTCTTCAGCGTATGCCACCTACAATGGACCAGGAAAGGTACCATTCTCCCTTTGCTCATTCCATCTGTCTACCTGCATCCATACAACAAGTAGTCAACTTTTAACTTTAGCACCATTACAAGATTGAAGTCCAAAACACATCATAATGTTTTTCTTGAATCCTGCAATTTGATCAGTTTTAAAAGAAGACAATAATTTTGTCATAGTCATATGACTCATATCAACACGGTTGAAATAAATTCCAAGAATGATAAGGTTGTGACAGTGTGCAAAAGCAAAAAAAGGTGCATACCCATTCTCCGGGGCAAAGAGCCCTGTAGTATTTTGCAAACTTGTCACACTCAGGAGCACCTTCTCCTTTTGCAGCTACACACCTGAAAAGACCCCAAAAAATCAAGATGCTTATCGGGAAATAAAAAGGTAGTGGGCCCAAGATGGTCAACGAATCTGTAGGGTTTAATAAAAACTCTAGGACTAGATTGACTCACCGATGATACTCAATGTATCGGGTAAAGCAATGTCTAGTTTGATTTGTAGTTGGGAAACGGAAATCTGCTGGTGCTGTTTCAATCTGGCACACAATGTAATAATAAGATAAACGTAGCATATCCCTAATGCAAAAAAGGAAAAAACCAAAGATGGGTTGATGATTAATGGTCCAGTCAATACCTTAATCTCTGGTGTCTCTTCAACTTCTTTATCTCCCGAGTCATCCTGTTCAGCTGTTTCACTGTTTTCCTCAGCAGCCGCTTGGGTGGATTCAGCGACACTTTCCCCTGCATTAGAAGTGGCCTCAGCGCTAGGATCTCCACTACTTTCATCAGCAACAACAGGGTTTTCCTCGGTTGCAACTTCCTCAGAGGTGGCATTTGCAGGGTCCTTCACCTCAAGTTCTTCAGCAGGTTTCGTACCCATATCCAACTTCTCTTGTTTCTCCTTCAATAAATATTGCTGCATTTCAAAGCATCAGATAACTAGGTTTTACTATGAGCAACTGACAGAAGATGTAAGAGAGCATGTTGAAAGGCAGTGTCCTTGCATGTTCTTGTCCTCCATATAATTGGTTATGTGATGACTACAAAAATTTACATATGATTGAACTTAGTCCACAGCTAAAACAAGCTCAATTTTCACCCTACACATCTTATTGTAGTCACCTAACAATCACTGCCAGCTTATGACAAAACTATCGTGAACTAAGCATTTTTACGAAGGATTATTTATATCAGAAATACAAAATTAAGATAATATATATGAGAAGCAAGTGGCTTTTTATAAACACGCAAAATTTTTGTATCTTCTAATATATGCAAGAACTAAGCAAATGTGTACACATATAACGTAATAAGCATACTCAGAGATGGACACTATTTGCAATACAAACTAAGGGTCTGACAAAATTGATGGAAAACACAGATGAAGAGGTCTAGCAGCATTCAAAATCTTAAGATAAATAAGAGTTGATCAAAAATGGGAGAAAAATGAAGACAAAAAGGTGAATGTATGCCATAGTTCATTATAGGAACATTGCCTATAAATATATGAATAGCTAGCAGCATCATTTATATAGATATATGATGTCCAGCATTATTCGTAAGACTAAAAGATATAAAGCTAAGGAAAGATAGGGAGCAAATGAACACTAAAAATGATTATACATCATAACTTATTATAAAAAAATTGTTCAATAAATACATAAGCTGGACTTGAAGACTAAAATCCCTCTCAGGTGCTATACGTTAATATTTAAGGCACCAAGCATTTCAACACAAGATGAGGCTGAAGGCATATAAGCTCACAAGCCTCCAAAGGATCTTCTTTTATTTAGTTAAGGAGAAGGTGGTGATTTGGTAAAATCTCTAATAAACTTTATTTCTAGAAGTGCCACCACGAAGTCGGGCCCCAACCTGTCAATGAGTTGGGTATGGGTATGTAATGAATCTTTAAAGCCCATAAGAAATACTTGGTTGTATAATTTACACTCGGACTATGCTGTAATAATGTGACCATCTTTGTGGTGAATAAACCAACATTATCAGGGAGAAAATTGTTAAAGTGCTTGTATAAATCTAACCTTATAACCTTAAAAATCAAATGAACAAATTCCCCATCAAAAAAGAAACCACAAGTAAACAAAAACTAGCAAATTACAGTTTGTGAGACACTAATAGCCAAAGAAAGATGATCCACCTCCAATAACCAGCTGAGTTATCCACAAAAGAACAACAATATGGCCAAGACAGTTTCAGGTTAACCATAGGAAGCCCAGCTAACTTTGAGTCTTGATTTCACTCATTCTAGATACCTTAATGCTGCATTTGGTTGGGGGATTTGGGGAGGAATTTGGAAAATGAAAGGGAAAAGGTGTGTGAAACTAGGTGAAATGTGAAAATATACCTACATTTCACCTAACTTTTCCCTTTTCCTTTCTAAATCTCTCCCCAAATCCTCCAACCAAACACAGCGCAAAGCTCGCATTTTGGGGCACCATTGCAAATTGCTTTTGAGTTCCTGATTTATTACTTGGAACTACACATGCTACAATCTAATTCAACTCAGATTACATCTAGAACTTACAACCTGTCCTTTCTGACAAATTTTAAAGCAAAGATCATGCAACACCAGCTTATAAATTTAGGGCTAGTTTGATTAGCGAGGATTAATAGCGAGGGGATTGACAATCCATCGGTTTAGTGTAGAATTGGTTATCCAGCTGGATTATTGAGATACATAATTTCCTCTTATCCAAGTTTATTTTGCAATAGATATAAAAATTTGTAATCCCAATTATATGTATGGTTTGTGTTATCAGTTGTAAGATTAAAAAATTCATCAATTTTATTGGATAGAATGACTATATAAGTCTAATCCGAACAATAAAATTTGCAACCAAACAATGGAATGTGAGTCCTATGGAGTAATAATCCCAATTCTATGCTATAGTCCACCTAATCAAACAAGCCCTTATAGTAGATCCAAACTCCTATAATAACTACATGTCAGGTAAATAGATAATTTGCTTAATAAAATCTTACTTGTGGCCTTACCTATCAGAGAAGAATATCAAAACACCATGAATTTACTTAACTACACAAAAGATCAATTCAATCGAATTGAGTCAACATCCCGAAAATCTAAAAATCTTAAGCGATTGTATACGCACACATCAACATGTTAACGGCAACAGATCCATTCAAATCAAAGCCGTTCGGAGAAAAAAACAAAGATCGATGCTCAAAATTCGAACCAGATCTAGTCAAATGACCTCGAATCATATAAACAAAGTCGCAAAGCGATGTAGATCGAACTCGTAGTACAATCCTAAGTGCCCAAAATCATTACACAATAGATGTGCATATACATATACATACATATATATATATATATATATATATATATAAAATTACCTCAGATAGGGTTGGGGGGGGTTTTGAGCTATCGACTTCCGCCATTGATGGATTGGAAGAGGAAGCTTCAGCTGCGAGAGGCGGCCAGAGAGAGAAGAAGAAGAAAAGAGGAAGGAAATGTTGTTAGGTTTTTAGATACAGTACAGTTACTACTGGCACTGCAGAGGGCAGAATGGAGGGGCTAGGGTGCGGTGCGGTGATCTTCACGTTAAGGTTCTGGATTTTCCCAGGAGCTTTGTTGATCCAATCAAAATGTGGACTTGGTGCAGCTGCTGCCCAAATCTATCAACTTGGGCCGTTTTGACCACTATGGGTATTCTAGAGGCCCAGACAATCAAACCTATAAGAAATTTTCAGTTTTATTTTTCATTTATTTATTTATTTTTAAATTTGTAATCTTTACTGTCAAAATGATATACATTTTAGAAGGGCAATAATGTGTACTTTAAAAGGCATATGTTAATAAGTTTAGAATATTTATATAATTTTTATTATATATACTTGAAAATTTACATACATTTTAAATTTTTTTTTACATGCATTTTAAAGCCATATGTTAGTAAAAATTCATTTTAGAATTTCCATTCTCCCTCTGATCTTTTGGTTGGGTCTATTTAGAGGGTTTTTGTGATCCATAAAATGCTATTATAGGTTTTGAGGTTGATTTGGCAATGTTTTTAAATTTTTTTTTAAAGCTAAAATTGTTGTTTTAAATTTTTTTTTATATGCATTTTAAAGCCACATGTTAGTAAAAATTCATTTTAGAATTTCCATTCTCCCTCTGATCTTTTGGTTGGGTCTATTTAGAGGGTTTTTGTGATCCATAAAATGCTATTATAGGTTTTGAGGTTGATTTGGCAATGTTTTTAAATTTTTTTTTAAAGCTAAAATTGTTGTTAAAAAAGCTAATGCGCTCCGTAAATAATAAGAAGTTACTTTTTTTTTGTTAGTGAAAAAGTTGAATAAATTTATTTATTTATTTTGCATTGTTAGTTTTTGTAGTAAAAAATAAACAAGTTTTATTTTTTACTTCAGTTAACCAATAAATGACTCTATTTTGAGAAGTAGGAAAAAAAAACAAATTTTAAATTTTTTTGACTTTTTTTAAAAAAGTAGGTAAAAATAGAGATTTAATGTAACTCAAGTAAGTTTAATAAATCAATAAACTAATCTTTTTTCCTAATTGCCCAAATAGGTCTTAAAAAACCAAAACCAAACAGAGTCTTGAGTCATAAGATTGATCAATGCCATATTCTAACAGGTTCCTTTTTCAAAACCAAGGATTTTCATCTTCGGTCATATCATATTGTTGCTGGAGTTTTTTTATATAATCCGAAATAGTTATTCAAACTTAAACTAGGCTCTGCGCTGGTAGATTTTAAATGACCTCCACTCAAATTAAAAGATCAGTTTCTTTCTTTCTTCCTTAAAAACTTAAAGAACTGTTAGGATTAAAGACACTTAGAAAATGATCAATAAGCAATCACTCACATAAATGAGACACAATTATTTACGTGGTTCAGCCTAATGTCTACATCCACGGGTGAAAGGGAGACAGTTTCACTATAAACAAAACAAAAAACAAAAACAGAGGAGGAGGAGGAGGAATCTCAAGTGAGAATTAAAATTATTTTAATTCAGAAAGAAGAATACCTCCTGCCATGATATTCAAGTTTTTGAATCTTTATCTTTGAATGATCAAATCTTAGATGTATAAACAAAACCCACTCATTGAATACTTTTACAGAACCATATGGGAAAAGTGGAAGGAATTCAAGCCTATTCTATTCACAAAACGTCGTCTGTGTTTGATGGTTATCATAGGCATATATATAGATAGGCTTGGACCCATATCTAAGTGTAACTCCTTATAACTTTTCAGGGAAGTTGTAAGGTCCCATGAAACCACCATATGGGATAATGAACAGACATTAGTTACCATTAACCATTAAACTAATTAAATATATATAATAAATATAAATAAAACAAACATGTGGCATATAGGCCACTTTATGAATATTCTTACATTCTCCCATTTGGCACATATAATACACGCTGTTGATTGTCAGGTAACTAACAAACTGATTATGACCATTAAATAAAAATACCCAAACTTTAGAGTTATAATATACGAATCATGGCGGTTATATTCTATCAATTAAGTATTTCCTTCCATGTATTACATTGTATCACACTGTCAACTTTATGTGGTGTCATTCTTTATGAATAACTTCTAATAAGTTATTATGGGTCCAATGATTCCTATGGATCAATGGTCCCAATGGACTGCATAGCATCACAAATACTTTAGGTGCACAAAATGATACTTTTCACTAATAATAATCAAAATGTCATGAGAAAACAAAATAAAACAACAACTAGAAAAATTATTGAGCTAAATAATCAGTCTCATGCCCTCAATGTGTTTTGAAAACACCTTTACAAAAAAGACCTTTGGTCATGGGATTTGCAACCATCATATCGGTACTAATATGCTCAATGCTGACTTCTTGCTTCTTAACACGGTGTCGAATGGCCTAGAAATTGAATCCACAGTTCGAAGTCCTGTGATAAAATTCCTTAACCAAATAGCCTGTGAGGTTGCTTCAAAGCATGCTATAAACTCTGCTTCCATTGTTGACGATGCAATTATCGTCTCTTTGGCGCTCTTCCATGAAACAGCACCACCTGCTAGCAGATAGACATATCCTAAAGTAGATTTTCTGGAATCTTGACAACCCGCAAAATCCGAGTCTGAATATCCAACCACCTCAAGACAGTCAACATGCTTGTAAGTAAGCATGTAGTCCTTGGTTCCCTTTAAGTACCTCATGATTTTCTTTGCAGCCTTCCAATGTTCCATTCCTAGATTACTTTGGTATCTTCTAAGCATCCCAACTGCAAATGCAATGTCAGGTCGTGTACAAACTAGAGCATGCATTAAACTGCCTACGGCAAACGCATAGGGAACGCTAACCATTTGTTCCTTTTCCAAATCATTTTTCGGACATTGATTTAAACTGAATTTGTTACCCTTTAAAATGGGCGCTGCATTAGGAGTGCAATCACTCATCTTGAATTTCTCCAAAACTCTTTCAATGTAGCCTTTATGAGACAGTTCTAATGTCTTTTTGGACCTATCTCTATGAATCTCTTTGCCAATGACATAAGAAGCATCACCTACATCCTTCATTTCAAAATTTTGGGAAAGAAATTGTTTAGTATCATGCAACAATCCCAAATCATTATATGCAAGTAAAATGTCATCCACATATAGAACTAGAAAAATGTATTTGCTCCCATTAACCTTAAAGTATATACAGTTGTCCACAACATTCTCCATAAAACCATATAAAGTAACAACATTGGGGAACTTTAAATACCACTGTTGGGAAGCTTGTTTTAGTCCATATATGGATTTCTTGAGCTTGCAAACTAAGTGACTATCTTTATTAGAACAAAAACCTTTAGGTTGGTTCATGTATACTTCTTCCTCAAGATCCCCATTTAAAAATACCGTTTCACATCCATTTGATGTAGCTCTAAATCAAAATGAGCTACTAATGCCATGATAATTCGAAATGAATCCTTCTTAGAAACCGGAGAAAATGTATTATGATAATCGATGCCTTCTCTTTGAGTGAAACATTTAGCTATGAGTTTGGCTTTATATCGTTCGACATTGCCATTTGAGTCTTTCTTGGTTTTATAGACCCCTTTACAGCCAACCGTTTTAACTCCTTTAGACAACTCGACAATTTCCCAAACTTGATTCTTAGCCATAGATTTCAACTCTTCCTTCATGGCATCATTTAGAATCATCCCTATTCATGGCATTGGAAAATGAAATAGGATCATCTTCAGGTCCGATGTCAAAATCAGACTCCATTGAGTATACAAAATAATCACCGGAAATTGCTGACTTTCTAGCGCGTGGGGATCTCCTTAATTCTGTAGTCTCAATTGGGACTTGAGTTACAAGCTCTATGTTGACTTGTTCCTCTTGTAGTGAAAGTTCTTGAATTTGTTGATTTTCAAGAATATCGGGTTGATTATTTTGAAAGACAACCAATTCACTTATATTCATGAGTATTGTATCCGGATCCCGTGATTCCTTCTACTCTATCTTTCGAGGGTAACTCCCACTAGGGTCAACTTCCTCAATAAACTTAGCATTTTTGGCTTCAACAATTCTAAGTGAATTTGAAGAACAATAAAATCTGTAACCCTTGGAGTTTTCCGCATAGCGTATGAAAAAACCACTAATTGTTCTGGGGTCCAATTTCTTTAAATGTGGGTTATACACCCTCACTTCAACTGGACAACCCCAAACATGTAAGTGTCTTAAACTTGGCTTCCATCCTTTCCATAACTCAAACGGTGTTTTGGGAACAACCTTGGATGGAACCCTGTTTAAGATATACACAGCGGTTTTCAAAGCTTCACTCCATAAATTTATAGACACATTAGAATAACTAAGCATGATCCTTACCATGTCCATAAGTGTTCGGTTCCTTCTTTCAGCAACACCATTTTGTTGTGGTGTGCCAGGCATCGAATATTGTGCAATAATGCCTTCTTCCTTAAAGAACTTAGCAAATGGACCTGGTAATTGTCCCAATTCTGTGTACCTCCCATAATATTCTCCACTATTGTCTGACCTCATAATTTTAATTTTCTTTTCTGTTTGTTTCTTTACCTCTGCTTTATAAACTTTAAAGACATTAAATGCCTCGGCCTTATCAAACAAGAGGTAGAGATACGTGTATCATGTGAAGTCATCAATAAATGAGATAAAATATCTCTGACCATTCAGACAAGGTAGAGTAAATGGTCCACAAATATCAGTGCGTATGATTCCAAGAATTTCTTCACTCCTTTTGGCACCTTTACTGGTCTTGTTGGTCTGCTTTCCCTTTATGCAGTTCACACAAATACCAAATTTGGTAAAATCAAAAGTCGGAAGGACTTCATCATTAATCAACCTCTTTATTCTCTCAATGGAGATATGTCCCAATCTCCTATACCAAAGAATAGAGGAGGACTCATTAACAATATTACGCTTAATGCCAATATTACCATGCAAGGTTAAAAGATTTTGTTCAAAAACAGGATCCAGATTTAATTTGTACAAACCATTAATTAAAGTACCAAATCCTGCAGAA